AACTTTTCCACGACATTCTAATTTATTGAGATGCACCTGTAAACGCACATTCATATACCCCGAGTCTTCAACACAATAGCGATTCATTCACAATGTGAGTGTAACCGGACTTTCATTTTGTTGCGTGCAATGGTGAATTGCAGTGTGCATTTGTGGGAAGTGTTGATTCTTTTAACTCAACGGGAGCATATGAAACTTTCCGAACATGTTACTGTGTTGTTTGTCTCCACTCTTCTCTCTCTACAGCACCACGCCTGCTTTTGTAATTTTTTTTTACGACTTTTATGAGGACTATGAAATAGAGGGTTTCCTGATCCTTTAATGTACTTTCATTTTGAGCCTTATCTGGGTTAGCTATCATATACTAAGTCCAGTCTGACACGCAGGGTCCGTGTAACCCTTTGCAGTTCTTTGTTCAATTCGCACCATCAAAATGAACCAAATGAAACGTTGGCTTCAAACTTTCATTTTCAATTTCTTTGGAGCAATTTTCAAACGGATAATTGTCTCTCATTTTAATTTTAAATTTTACGAGTTTGGGATGTTGCGTCCGATTCTGATTTTTGAACTAACATAAAAAATTACTCATTATTCTGATTTTTTGCTGAGTTTTGCGCTCTCGGTTGGACTGTACCAGTGGGGGGAGCGGGGGGTGGGGATGTGGATGTATTTACCCTGTTTTTATACAGTCTATGGTATTTACCCAGAGCGCTGTATGTATATGCCTATGCATTGACACGTCTGACCATGCAATAATTTATCGCCTGCCATACACTATGTCTCAGACAGTGGCAACGCGCTGAGGTATCTCTACGTGTGCTTTCTCTAGAATGATCTAATCTCCTGTATTCCTGTAATTAATGTTGTTAGAAGTTATAGACCAAACAGAATATGACATCCCAATGAAATAGTAAATGCTAAATAAATTACTGGTAGGACACTGATGGGGGTTGGGGTGGGTGGTGGGTGGGGGTTAATGATGTCAGATATTGACAATAATGCTATCTATACCTATAAAACAATAATGCTGACAATACCTATAAACCATCTCAATTCCATTCCTGGTTAATGGGTAATGTAAAATATTCATATTCAGGAAAACTTGTACTCATTTTGTACATGTACTTATTTTTGTTTGTTGTCTACATTTTTTTTTTATTAGTTTTTTTTATTAGATTGTATTTATGATATTATTGTTAAATGTTCAATATGTATCTGCCATGTAATAGGCGGTGATGCTGATATGGCAATAAACTCAAATACTACTACTGCAGTGACCCACCACGAGCAGGACGGGGCACCCCTGATCTATTATAAATATATAAATATTAATATTTCACCCTGCTTATGGGTGAACTATTATTATTTATATATTTATAATATTCAAAATAAAATATAGAATGAAAAGAATAGATCTATGATAAAGAAAGATTTATGAAATAAATAGGGAGATAAAGAGCAAGAAATAAAAGTTTAAACATTGCACAGGCAGTCCAGTAGATGGTAAAACGAGACACGTCAGAAGATGAAGACGTGCATTCGGAACAGTAGGTGCAACTAAGTGCTTAAATCACACCCCATAGCAGTGTGCTCTTGACAGAAGCAGCTACGCAATCTGTGCGTCATTGCCAACGACTGGGCGCACTTCATGCAAGTAATGATGGATGACCTGTACCAGCCGCAGTTCAGCCTATACCACGGCGCAAAAAGGCTGATAATGTCAGCCCGAAATCTGTCGAGGGACCGATTGGAGTCCATTTTTAAGGTGAGTAACTGGTTGTGTTTAATACTTTCGTGCATTCTTTTGTCTTTAATAACTTTTGTTAATGTTAGCTGCGGGTCCTGCGGGAGTGCAGGTCTCTACCGTAAGTGCACAATTACACGCGCAAGTTAAAAAAAGTGCGGCTGGCTTGACCGCAGTAAATAAAATAGCAGCAGCAACACTTGAGATCATTCCCCTCACAGATCATGTTTTAACTTGACATTCAGCAACAGTTCTCACTACAAACATAGAAACAATCGCACGAACACATAAAAGCTCACAAAATCGTCTGATTTAATTCCTCATATTTTCCTCACATGCTGCTGCTGCCGCACTAAACGTTTATTTCAGCAGAAAAGACGCCAGAAAAGATGCACAAGTAGCGCTGAACCGGATGAAAACAACACAGAAATGAGTCTGTAAAATGTGGCTTAAACAGACTGTATAAAGTGTGTTAGATAGTTGTAGCAAAGTTGTTTTTAATACTTTCGTGCATTCTTTTGTCTTTAATAACTTTCCTTAATGTTAGCTTGATAGTGAAGCTAGCATTAGCCACTAGCCAGCATGTGATCGCGCCGGCGCCTCCCATAGGGTTAAATTGAAACGTGAAGTCCAAAGGTTAGTAATATATAGTTTGTTGTTTGTTTACACTACAACGATGTACTAAAACAGACATCAACGTTGTCAAAACGATCTGCGAAATTGACTAAAAATATTGTATTATGCATGCTAGGCCAGTAAGACACAAGTGTTACCCCGCTAAGCATGCGTGTCACATCACCATTTTCACAAATTCACGCTTTTTTTTTTTTGGTTACGTGGAGATTGTAAAGGCATTGTTTTCAGAACCTTGCACTTTGAAACCTTTTTTCAAAAGCTTGCGTTTTCAGGCCCCCAAAACGCCGTTGTCGTGTAACGTTAAATGAACGGCCAAAACGCATAAAAGTTTCCATTTCAGTGAGTAGGGTGAAGCTGCAGGCCCGGAGACCCAACTGCACACTCAGACCTGCACGCTCAGACCTGCACGCTCAGACCTATCGTTTTTTTCAGACAGTGCCACCTGCTGTTTGGAAGATTATCTAACCCGCTTTTTTTTTTTGGTTACGTGGAGATTGTAAAGGCATTGTTTTCAGAACCTTGCACTTTGAAACCTTTTTTCAAAAGCTTGCGTTTTCAGGCCCCCAAAACGCCGTTGTCGTGTAACGTTAAATGAACGGCCAAAACGCATAAAAGTTTCCATTTCAGTGAGTAGGGTGAAGCTGCAGGCCCGGAGACCCAACTGCACACTCAGACCTGCACGCTCAGACCTGCACGCTCAGACCTATCGTTTTTTTCAGACAGTGCCACCAGCTGTTTGGAAGATTATCTGCAGGCCCGGAGACCCAACTGCACACTCAGACCTGCATGCTCAGACCAGCACTCCCAGAACTATCGTTTTTTTCAGACAGTGCCACCTGCTGTTTGGAAGATTATCTAACCTGATTAGATAAGATTACCTAACCTGAATTCAATTGCTGATAGATTGCAACTTACACTATTTTTCTACTATAAAATATTACGCTATGACTGAATGCATTATTATATAAAATATTACACATACTAGGTTATGATTTAGTGCATTAAGTCTGGTTTATTTTTATTAATTGTATTTGTAAATAGAAATGGTTCAGTTACTTAAATATTTTCATAGTCATTTATTGTTTTCTTAATTATTAAGGATTTATCACATTCTTTAATGTTGAGTTAGGGGATGAACATTAACTCTATATTTACATACAATAAATTATAGTGCTCGGAGTCATTTTCTCACACCAAACTTTATTTTTGTATTCTTTTTCATGAGGTCCTACAAGTCATCGAGCTGTAAACAATGCAGAGAAAAATGGTGAAAAAAATAATTGGGTTAATTTGATCAAATCAAACACTGACTAAGCTAGCAATAATAGGTTACGCACCACGTGTTTGAAAATAACTGGGGTGAACAAAATTCACGGCTTATTTTGTCGAACTATCTATCTAAACTATCATTAAATACTAAAATAGGCTATTCGTTTGTTGGTGTAATAAGATGTCACATTGATTTATGCCATAAAACCTGGTAATTTTCAGGAATCGCTTTAATAAAATTAATAACCTTACTCACGTGTCCGATGTTGCTACTTGCTAGCAGTTTTATAATGTTTTTTTGTATTTTTTTATTGCAATTGAAAGAATAACAACAGTTATGAAGTAACATGGGGCTAACGGACAAGTTTTATAATGTTGGAAATTATTACGGTACACACGCTACAAAACAAATGTTCATCCAAACAGCAGGAGGCACTGTCTGAAAAAACGATAGGTCTGAGCGTGCAGGTCTGAGTGTGCAGTTGGGTCTCTGGGCCTGCAGCTTCATAATGTTGGTTTCAGTTGAAAACGGTGTCGTGTAAACGAGAACTCTGCACTTAACTGTGCACCATTTGCTCGCAAGGCAGAACGTAGATAGTAGATTGTAAGCTCTCTGTAGTAATGCGTAGTTGTTCATCTTTATTGCCAGCTGGCCAATAGTAGCCTTCAAATAAAATGTAAATAATGTAAATAACATTAAGAAACTGTAATAAATAGCAGTAAAGTTGTAAATACAAGTGGGAAGCTCTGGATTTTCTTTAACCGCCAAGTTTACGACTTGGGGGTGTGTCAGTGGGAAATGTGGCAGAATCACAATACTATATAGGTAGTCTCAGCCTCAGACGTTATGCTCACAGACCTTTGGCCAAAGATTAATAATATATAGAAAGACGGTTCACTCCTACTAGTAATGAATGGGAGAAACGGCAACGCGCAATATGGCGGAATATGTCAGAGCCAATCGCTGACTGATAAAGTCATTGCATCACTGCAGCTGCTGTTAGAAGCTCTGGTTGACCGGTTCCCATAGAAACCTGAGATTCGTGATTGGTTGCTTAAGCATGTCAGTCGGACGTTGTCTTGAGTGGTCCTTATTAGCCAATAAAAGCTGCGATAGAGTCTGCCGTCAGTCTGAAGGCTACACGAGACTGCTTTACAGGCGTTTAGCAGTGACATTAATCTAGCATTACTGTTTCCTTCCCTTTAGGTCGAGCCAGATAGTCTTTACTTAGAAGACGACATTACAAGAGAAACATTTTTTCCAGATCAATCTGGACAGTTTCAGACCACCCTGATGAGAGACAGAGGATCATTTGCTGTGTTAAGAGAACAACAAGTTTTGACACCAGTTGCAGGCCCTTCATCACCATTATCCTGTCGCCCAAAAGGGAGCACTGCCTTTACACACCCATCTAATACGTTTCAAAACCCTCTACGAAGGGCTAAATCAGCAAGAAAACAGATTTATGTAGCAGACATTGAGGACAGCGGGAAAATATCTCAATACAGTATGTATTTGTATCCAAATCTTTTAGCTCATAAATTGTACTTCAAATGCTGTAGCTAATGTTAAACTGGATCAGTTGTTCCCAACCGTGGTCCTGGAGTACCACCATCACTGCACATTATAGATGTCTCCTTAATCAAATGCACCTGATTCAACTCATCAGCTCATTAGTAAAAACTCCAAGACCTCAGATTGGTTTGTCAGAGAGACAAAAAATGTGCCGTATTGGGGGTACTCCCGGACTAGGGTTGGAAACCGCATAACTGGATTATGAACTTTTTCTCTATCACAGCTACAGTGCATGTCACAATATCTGAAGGCCAGGGTGTGCAGGCGGTGGGACAAACAGTGCAGGAATATTTAAATTCCGCTGACAGCTACAGTATCTGCGACGCAAAAGGGCTGGCGATTGCGGATACATCAGAGACCAAAGGTATTTCACTGCAAATGTCCACGTTTATGCCCTGAACTACCATACATGCTTATCAACTACCCTAAGAGTCCTCTCTTTGAGGATGATGGCAATGGTAACCCTAGTTGTACCTGAGAAGTTTTTTAACTGCTTACACACAAAAAGTATGTGTTGGTTACATATGTTTCAGTTTGTTTCCATTACCTTTTTAAGCAAACTATTTTATTGTGGTAACATTACACAAGCAAACTGAAACATAAAAAAAAAGTGTTAAAGTATTGGAATTTTGTATTCATAGTGTTAGGCTATTGTAAGTGGGTTTGTTGGGACTCTAAGAAGCTGAAACTGAAAAAGCCCAACAAACAAGTGCAAGAAATTGTTTTTTCCTTGCATATTGTTTGTGCAGTTTTGTGAATTGTGTATAGTTTTGAAACATGCAACTAAGTTTTGAAAATGTAAGCAGAAACTGTGAAATGTTATGTTGGCATAATTTAGTAATGTTGCATTTTAGATTTGGAATTTTGGAAAACATCGAGCCGGAAGGTATATGCCATCAGAACTGTAGACCTGGCCAAGCTCAAGATGGGAAGACTTGAAAGTGCTTCCAAAAAGAAAAGGCAAGTTTGTTTTCAAGAATCAAAATGATATATTATGCAGTAAAGGCCTGCCTTGCCCCAGTGTGAAACCATTTAAATAGCACTCACTATAAGTTGACTCCATCTTCACAGCTGTAGGCTTCTTTTGCCAACTCACAGTAAAGCTTTCTGCTACACATTGCATGAGGCAGACTTTGCATGATGTTTTAGATTGGTAAAGTGTATACCTAATGTTCCAGGATTGCCCTGTGTGACCGGTAATTAAATTATACAAATTACAGTAAAAACTTTCTCATCCATGTTGGCCTATTGCTATTTCTGCATGATTCACTTGTCATATTGTAAGGCTAGAAGCTTACACTGCTATTTTGAACCAGTATTAGAAACAAAAAGCAGAATGATGTGCAGAACTGAATTATGATTAAATTAATCTAACTCTATTAGAGTTGTTATTATATAACATCTTAGTTGTTTTTAGGTAAGAGTCTTTGCTAGAACTGATAAGAAAACATAAGATTTAACCTGAACGTTCAGTTCATGTTTAGTAAAATAGAGAGCCAGAGCCTCTGTGACTTACCAGGCAGAGGATGACATAATTGGTTTTAAAGGGTTAGTTCACCCCAAAAATGAAAATGATGTCATTAATTACTCATCCTCATGTCGTTCCACATCGTAAGATCTTCGTTCATCTTCAGATCAAACGTCTTCCGGAAGCTCAAACGTGCTGCATAACCAATGAGGTTAATTCTTGTGTGTTATGTGGTGTGTTTGAGCTTCTGGAAGAGGTTTGTTCTTGTGTGTTATTCAGGTTTGTTTGAGCTTCTGCTTATGTTTGCTGATCAATGTTTACATGCGAGTAAAAGCCTAAATGAAATCTATTCATCATAACAAGTGATCAATTCTCTTCAGAATCAGTGATAAAAGGAAAGCTTCTCAAAGCCTTTAAAGCAGGCAAAATTATTAAGTTACATGCTTAAATATATAGTTATGCAACAATACACTGTGCAGTAAAACCAGTATCTAATGGTTACCTGTATGTCTGTAACTGTACAGGTACCCAATCAGTCTGTAATGCACTGCTTTGATCTCACTGATCAACTGTTACCACCTTTCATTCTGAAACTTATACCCTAAGCAAAGAAATGTTAAATGTTTAGAATTCAAACACCAAAATAGGGTTGTGCTGATAGGCAGTAGTATTGTATATTTATGATATTGTTATTATTAAGCTAGTATTATTAAATTGGCCTGCCATAGTTTTACTTAAGCATCACAGCATATAGCCGGGACAACATGCGCATTAAATCTAGCATTAAAATACTCCTCGTTGAAAATGTTTTAAAAACAGACTACAAAACTATAGCCCACATCAAATTCAAACTGCAAGGTGTTAAACCTATATTCACAAATTTGGTCAAGAGTGCTTTGAGAATGAGAGAATTTACAAATGTCTTGAACAGCTGTGAAAACAGCATCGTCATTGGTCAGTATTTTGTTTCCTTTGCATAGCACATTAACATAAAATGTTTATGATAGGCCTAATAATATAATACAAATGACAACACTAACAAATTATTATTTTATTATATAATAAAAATGTATAGCTAGTAACAGTCTATTATGCCTATTGTCCACACAATCAGTCAACAATAAATTAAAAACCAATTTGTTTAACACCAAAAACAAATGAAAGAAAACAAAGATCATAAACCGGAAGAACAGTGAAATAGCTTGCAGTGGCCGCATACAATAACATTAAGAATCTATGGTGGTATAATTTTAAAGTAACGTTTTAAAATTTGTAATAAAACTAATAATGATGACTTATTACACTAACTCTTGATATTATTGATGTTACAGATAGACTGCAGTGAATTGAAATGCTGATACTGTCTGTGAAGTAATGGACATGTCTTTTTCACTTTTTTCAGGGTGCACTCTGAAGAAAATGAAGTTCTAGATGGCCTGCTCGACACTGAGCTTGAGATAAAAAAAACTCTGCATCAAGGCTAGCTGAAAACATGGATGAAAAATTTAGCGAGCTAACCATTTCAGTCGCCCACATTAAGGCTAATGTCCTACAGGTAGTGCAACAGATTGAAGTGTTAGCTGAGATGAAGGAGAACATTTCTGAAGTGTCAAAGTCACTATCCGTTGCTTCCTCTCTGCGAGATGCGGTAGCATGCAAGATGTGCACAAACATGCCCAATTCTGTGCTTGTTATAACTGCATGTTGTGGGCAGGTGGCAGGGTGTGGCCCCTGCATCCAGACGTATCTAAACGACAACGACAGCTGCCTTTTGTGTAAAGCAAATATGTTCGCAGGCAAACTGGTGTTTTTAAGAGGCCTGAGTGAGGTGCTACCAAAACTGACGAATGAAGCGACTTAAATGGGGTCTGGCTGACATTGTTTGGCTCAGAAGTTCAGAAATAATATTGTTTTACATATTTTTATATGTATTTGTTGTATACCTTGCTTTGTTGTATTTGTTTAGAATCTTGGGCATGGTGTTCAGGGGTTAGTATGGCATCTGGCCGAGTAATTTTTGTTTTTCTGTATCACATTTTTGTATGTGTAGGGGTGTAAATTCATAACAGCCAGCTAAGTTTATTTGTGGAGTCCAGTGCCATATACAGTATCTTAATGGGCATTACTGTTCCACAGCAGTTTCTGTTCCTGTTCCTGAATAGGCCATTTAAAGAGAGACCCCCCATTTTCTTCTATACACTGTTGTTATATGAACCACAGCACATTTTGGCTCTCCTGGCAGAATATGCTTGCCTGGGGTCATTTCACTGTTAAAAACACTGTTCATAGCACTGATAGTGATACAAGGGTTGTTGTATATCTTGTGGGGTATTATGAGAAACTAAATTCTGAATTTAACAAATGTTATAAATGTTTTTATTATGGTAATTAGCAAATGTTAAAATAAACCAGTTAAGCTTGCAAATGGACTTATGTCATTAATACCAGTTATGTGTGACACTGACCCCACACTAAGTTCAAGATAGTCATAGTGCATAGCTGATAAATATGGTGTTATGTTATGAGTGACTGTACCAAACATAAATCATGTTAATTAATGCAAATAATGTAGTGTCCTTGTACTTTAGAATGAAACCATTCCATGCTGCAGTTCAGGAGTGAGAAAAGACTGACAGAACAGACAATAAATAATACACAAAACCCAAAGATTTTGATAATGACAAAGGGGAGTTCAATCAAATATGTGCTGGTCCCAATTTGGGAGGTCACTTTAAATTATCAACATTAAAACTATTCATTCTGCAAAAACAGTTTGTTGTCAGCATTTTACTTTGTTTTTGGATGAATAATTCTTCTGCATTAATGTATATGTTTCATTTTATTACTTTAAATACCGTTTTTGTTTAAATGCTGTTACCTTTAGACACAGTAGATATACAGCAATGCATCTTATAATCTCATGTTTGTAGCTTTGCTGTCCTGCAACCACTTATCTTAACCACTTATCTAAAAAAAATGACAACTTTTAATGACACTTTTTAAATGAGACTTTAATACGAAAATGAAGTAACCAGTAAAGATGTCAGACATAGATTGGAGTCAAAAAATTTTTGCCTCTGATATAGTGCAGTAGAAATCTAAATACTCTGCTACTGATACTGCTACTGTTTAATCTGAACAACAAAAACAACACCATCACACTAGCTATTGCTCCAGTCTACGTGTAATGTTCACATATGTCTCCAAACCCTGCCAGAATAGGCCACTGTGACCTAAAAGACTATCGTAAAACATTTCATCATAACTACAGGTCGACAGCAGCAAAGTTTCCCTCTGCACCTGAAGGTCAGGGTGGCCATCAAGGGGGTTGCGTCCAAACGGCGCAGGATAAGTCAGAGTTCCTCTGTTCCTAATGTAGTCAGCTGCAAGTTCCTCAGCAAAAAAAAAAAAAATCGGCCCTGGCATTTTTTGGTCCAGGCGGCCCATCACCACTTCGATATATATATATATATATATATATATATTACGTTTTATTAAAAAGTGTTTACGCATGCTACACTCATGGTGCGCAGCCGCGCACACACAATAGGATAGGTTAGATTCCGTTGCGAGTTCCTATCAAGCACTTTACCAATTCAACTACTCTCCTCTCCTCCTCCTTTTCGGCAAAAAAAAAAACATTCTGTCGGCCCCTTAAATGCGTCGGCCCACCGGGAAAATGCCCGGTATGCCCGATTACCAATCCAGCCCTGCACACAGTGTGTACTTAACTGGGTAGTTTATTCGCGAGTTGACTTCTACCCACTTTCTTTCAGCAGCGTGGTTCTGTCTTGACTGACTTTGAATGAAAGGGTGTCTGTTGACATTAGTGCGAAAGGCCCTAAGATTATCTTGTTGATACAGACATAAATAAAATTCACGTCCGTGATCAACTCTTAGCTGATCAAAAAGGCCATGACTCAAGCAGATTTCTCTGTACACTTCGTCATAAATGATAAGATTATTCTTGATCGGCATTACAGAAAATCCTAAAATGTTCCCACTGAAACCATCAGAGGCAACAACTTCAGTAACCCCAAAATCCACAAGCTTTTCGTTTTGGTCCATATGTAGTTTGTGACCGGCATACTCAGCGTAATAGACATGGGGATTCGTTTGGCGAGCAGTTCCCTCTCTTCGCATCTGAGTGTACTGCGGGGTAATTTGTGCCAGTGCGCGCCTTACAGCCTTTTCACCCAACCTGTATCCCGAAGCTCTCAACATCCCAGTCATCATCTTTCTACCGTACACAGGGCCGCAAACAGTAACAATTTGTGTTAACGTGCAGTCACACAGTTAATGGAGGTCTGATGGTAAATTATTGCATGGTCAGACGTGTCAATGCATAGGCATATACAGCGCTCTGAGTAAATACAAGTGGAAAATCAGAATAATGAGTCACTTTTTATGTTAGTTAAAAAATCAGAGTCGGACGCAACATCCCAAACTCGTAAAATTGAAAATTAAAATGAGAGACAAGTATCCGTTTGAAAATTGCTCCAAAGAAATTGAAAATTAAAGTTTGAAGCCAACTTTTCATTTGGTTCATTTTGATGGTGCGAATTGAACAAAGAACTGCAAAGGGTTACACGGACCCCACGCAGGATATCAAACCTTTTTGATTTCTCAGAAACACTACGTTTAGATGAAACCCATGATCTATTCTTTGAACTTTGCTTTCATTTTCACTTTTTGTTTTCCCAGAAACTGTTGAGTTCAAGGCAAGGCTTGCTGTTATACCAGTGTGCTGCAGAGATCATTTACTTATTAAGTAGGCCTACGGGTGTAGCTTGTGGGGGTGCCAGGGGGGCCTGGCTCCCCCATAGCGATTTAAGAATTTTACTAAATATTTATTTATAAAGTTTTTTCTATGAAGTAAAAATGCATATAATGCAGTTAATAATACATGTAAAAGTGAATACGTAAAAGTTAATACATTTTAAATTGTTATTGTAAGTAAATTAATAAATAAAAAAAAACTTAACGTCTCCCTCAATCTCATTTGCATAAGAATTGTCACGTGACGAATCTGCATTTTGGTGGATAATAGACTTAACGGTAATGCTTGCCTGTTGTGTGGAATAAAATTATGTTCTGCGTTTTTAACAACATACACGAACTGCAAATAAATCTGGAGACAACGAAAAACTCCGATGAAGATATTAATGCCGTGCTTAATGATTCCGGACAATCAGATAAAGGTGATCCACAGGACGCAGCCGGTTTAGCCGCACACTACTTTTATGCCGACCATTTACATCCAAATGTTATTTAATTTTCACAGAACACAACCTTTAAATAGATTTTAGAATATACACTGTTTATCGTCTATAAGACTAAATAAAAAGTGTGCACCTCATTGTGCATTAATTTGAATCAAGCCCAACAAATGTGTTTTAAAAACAGTGGATGAGTAATTCACTCCTTGATTTGCTTAATAAAAGCCTCCTTTGAGATAGTTTTGACAGACATGTTTATAAGCGCAGCTGTAATTTGTGGGCAATGTATGTGGTTACCATGATAACCTCACGCCCTTGCCACTGCTCTATGTGAATATGTAGATTTACTATAGCAAAACTAAAATGTGTTTAAAAGTACAGTCTGACCAAATCCACCGGTTCGGTTTGGCCCCCACAAACTCAAACGTCAAGCTACGCCTACCATGATCGTGCAAAAAACAATTTTTCACTTTCGACTGTTTTCTAATCCAAGGTGTTTAAAATAATCTTTTTTTTTATGTTATTAGGTTAAGAACAGGTTCACAGGTGTGGTGACAAATTAGAAATGCATTATTAAAACACTGACTCTCTTAATCAAACAAGTCAATATAATATTTTTAAATTAAATAACATGCTTAAACAATATTTATGTGTAGAGTATTGCCAAATAGGTCAAGTCACCTTCATTTATATAGCGCTTTATACAATACATTATTTCAAAGCAGCTGACGATCAGCAATTCAAGTAGTTTTATCCTATTTGTTATATTTATTGGCTTGGTCAGTGTCTTTGTGGGATTTAGGTTATTTTGCTATTGTAGGCTTTAAGGACCTGTGAAATAACTGACATCATTTGGTGAAGTGATTTGGACGTAATGAGGCCAAGGCCTGCCTGGAACTACTTTAGCTGTGCATTTCCATGAAAATAATTGCACACCTTAGAACGTTCGTCAGTCAATCAGATTCAAGCATTCAGCACCCCGTAGTGTAACACGCATTTTTTTGTATTTTTTCCTTCCCTTTTGGGGAAGACGTGGCCTAATGGTTAGAGTCAGACTCATAACCCAAAGGTTGTGGGTTCGAGTCTCATACCGGCAGGGATTGTAGGTGGGGGGAGTGAATGTACAGCGCTCTCTTCCACCTTCAATACCACGACTGAGGTTCCCTTGAGCAAGGCACCGAACCCCCAACTGCTCCCCAGGCGCCGCAGGATAAATGGCTGCCCACTGCTCCGGGTGTGTGTTCACGGTGTGTGTGTGTGTGTGTGTTCACTGCTGTGTGTCTGCACTTTGGATGGGATAAATGCAGAGCACCAATTCCTAGTATGGGTCACCATACTTGGCCACACTTAATCATCATCTGGGATTCACTTTAAATATTAATTTTAAATGTGTACAAATATTTAATGCAGTAGTGTTTAATTCACTTTGTTGTCACAAATTCATCATGACACAGCAGTCACAATAAGATCTTACCTGAAATTGACATTGCATTTTATGTTGATATTGATGTTATCTATCTACTTGTGCTAAATGTGTCGGATCGTTCCAGCAACGGTTAGCTGCAGGGTGGAGTTATTCTGATCATTATAGTGTGAGAGTCAAAATAAAGTAGTATGTTCATCTTAAAGCATTTTGTGACATCCAAATAAACCATTTTATGTTACTAAATAATACAACATTATAGGATTGTTAATAATTATTGAAAGTATAAAAAGCAGAAACATTTTGACTGATGAAACGTGACGACAATAAATACACTATTGTGACAATATATGGTTTATGTGTTTTTATATATGTTTTCCAAGTCATCTCCAGGTAATAAATAATATGTCAGTGCTAACTGACATATAATTTATTACAGTACAGAAACTATAAAATATATTTTCTACAAAGATGTACCTTTTAGCTTTAGGGTGACAGCTTTGTACCTTTTTTCTGAGAGTGTAGGGAAAAATATTCAGAGTAATTTACACTTGGCTTGATACCTTTAGGTCAAACTGTGTCAGAGTTGATTGGATTTAAATAGGTTCAATATTCTATATATATAAAGTACCAAAGGAATAATTTTAAAAAATAAGCCTTGTCCTATATGGGGGATAATATTCAGTGTAATTTGCACTTGATTTGATATCTTTAGGCCAAAAGGGTTGGAATTTAATGGATTTACAGTATTACATTTAAAAATCTATAATTATTCTAAAACACATCAAATGTATATTCCCCAAACAAATCCTTGTGTTATGAAAGGTATATTTTTCTGAATATCATATACAGATTACCACAGGTTAGGACAATTAAGAGGACCCTGATCAGAGAGGGGGCCCGATGCAAATATCTAACAAATGTGAAACATTAAGCAAACTTTACCACAGTTGACCAGATTCCCATTGCCACTATGAGATACGTGTCAATGTAACGCTTATGTTACATGTTTGTATAAAATGTGGTCTCACCGAAAGTGAAACTGGGAAGTTTTCAGCCATTTTTCTCATGATGAAACTGCCCTTTTGTTTGATCTTCGTTTGTTTTCGTTCTTTTAAGGGGTGTGGGAGGCTACATAACTTCAGTCTGATACACTCTTCAGCATTACCACAAACACTGTGTTTGGATGAAACCTAACATTATTCAGAGGCACCCAAAAAGAAGGATATTAGAACTAACTTAATTTTTTCCTTTTTTTTTTTTAAGGCAAAGTATGTTTTCTTATTTTTCATCTCCTTCAGACAGAAGTAGTGCTCATTATGATAATGACAATACTCAGCATACTCAAAATGGAAGGTTAGTATAAAATTTAGAATAACTATTTTTTCATATATATATATATATATATATATATATATATATATATAAACTTTGTGATAAATGTTCTATATGTTCATTTATAGGCTTAGTTTATTTTTGGTACATGCTCTGAGGTTTAAAAAAAGAGAAATGTACATTTGAAAATGTACTGGGGTGTAACGGTACACGTATTCGTACCGAAAAATTTTTTGTACAGGTCTTTCGGTTTGGTATGCATGTGTACCGAACAAATACAGCGTTGGTTTAACCACTGCACAAGCGGAACTTCATTGGAAACTTCTAGTTTTATATATTGTTACTAGGGGTGTAACGATTCACTCGTTTTCTTGATGCATCGATTACAAACTCTGACGATGCACATGCATCGATCTTAAGCATGAATTTTTAAATCGTGAATCGTCGATTTCGGACAGTAATCGATTTAAAACGCTAAGAATCGAATGAATCACGGTTTCTATAGCGATTCAATGCTTTCAAAATATATACACATTAAATTACTACAAGCACGAATTAATGGAGACCTTGAACAGTGTTCGTGCCTCGCATCTCTCCTTCACGCGCTCCACTATCCTATTTACCGCCTGTGACTGTCACAGGATTGCGCTCGCACTCCGTTCGTCTCACTGACACATTTTTTGAGCAGCTGATGTGTGAGCTCTCCTTAGTGCTGTGGCCAGTAATGCTACAGTTAAGTAGTTTTGCTTTTCTGTAGTTTTTCAATGGCTCTCTGTATACCGACAACATTACCTGTGCTGCGTTTCCCAAAAGCTTCGTAATTTAAGTAGCACTTGAAAATCATCGTAGATCTACGAGAGCTCTGGAGCAATCGTAAATCCCTAAATCCATCGCAAAAAGATGTTATGCGGTCACCTGCAGGACAATCGTCAGATTACACCTTTAACTTTATTCAAGTGCAATGTGATTATAATATAAGGATTTGACTGTACTTTATTGTACACTTTATTACTCGTTTTTTTTCCATTAATTTATAAATGAAATAATTAAAAAGGGCAGAAAAAATTGAAATACACATCTAAATTAAATGACTGAACAAAACAAAAAAATGAATAAAAGAAGTAATGTAGGAAGTATGCTTCAAAGACAATGACTTGCTGACGTTCACGAAAACCGGCCATGTATTGGACCCGGAGTCTCTCTCTCTCTCTCTCTCTCTCTCTATATATATTACATAATATAATACAATATAATATAATATAATATAATATAATATAATATAATAGTTGTTATATCCGAGTTGTCTGGAACGCAGCATTAGGTTAACATTTCAATAAACGAGCGTGTACTACAATTACGAGCCATTCTATAAGGTGACATTTCAGCACTTGACAAACGGATGTAGCGACTCCTAAGTAGCACTTTAAAGGGGTCATATGATGTTGCTAAAAAGAACATTATTTTGTGTATTTGGTGTAATGAAATGTGTTTATGCGGTTTAAAGTAAAAAAAAACACATTATTTTCCACATACTGTACATTATTGTTTCTCCTCTATGCCCCGCCTTTCTGAAACGAGTCGATGTTTACAAAGCACATCGTTCTGAAAAAGCGAGGTGTGCTGTGATTGGCCAGCTATCCAGTGCGTTGTGATTGGCCGAATACCTCA